AAAAAAAAAGGGGAGAGGACTACAGCTCCGCTGTTTTAAATAAAAACATCTTTAGCTTAATTAGGTAGAGTATTTGTCTTCGAAACAATAAGATGTAGGTTCAATTCCTACAAGATGTCTAAAGAAAGTTATATTGGTATATTTTAAATTTAGAGTTTAAATTTACAGCTATTTAGCTTGCCTATTTCTTTGTTTATTACAGAACTCCACCCTTCATAGGTCCATACTTCATAGAAAATTGCCTTTAACTCCCCACCCCCCCTTACCTTTATTTTATCTGCTATCCGTCCCTCCCTAGGTTACTTTTCTCTAAGGGAGATAACCTTTGTTTTTAGCATTCTCCAAAACCTAAGGATAGGGATTATTTCTCCTATGGGCAAAGGGGTAACCTCTGTTATTAATTTTGATTCTCTCTTATTTTTATTCTTTACATTAAATAAGAAGTAGGAGCCTCTTCGATGCTAGAGCAGATGTTAAATAAGAATAAAAATAAGAGCAGAGGAGAAATAAGAATAAAAAGGAGATATCACTCCCCTAGTCACCCTAGGGCTTATTCGAAGGGACTTAGAGAATAAAAATTAATCATTAGTTTAAGCTAAGTAAAAGTAACTATAGATTATATTATCTCAAATTTATATAATTATTTCGCTACGCGGTCTCTACGCGGTAATTTTGTTGATATGCGCTCGCTAGCGGTAAATTAAATATAAGAGCCTCGGTTGCTTAGTGGTCAAAGCGCTATTCTGAAGATATAGATATGGGAGTTCAATTCTCTCCCGGGGCAATAAATTTTAATTAGCCTTTGTCCCCTCCCCAAAAAAAAATGGGAGAGGACTTCAGGTCCTTCTTATGGAGGAAACATACCTTCCTTTCTTCATAGGGACCTTCCTTTTGTTTGTCTCCACCCGCCTTTGCTTTTCCACCTTTACTTGGCTCTATAGGAGAAGAATTGTAAAGCAAAGGCAAAGTAGGAATACGCTCCTACTTATTATTTTGTTTCCCATATAATTAATAATAAAAAGGAGAACTCTTTTCCCCTATAGACCCTAGGGAAAAATAACCAATAAAAGTGGGGAGGAGTTTTGTTTTAATATAGGCAAACAAATGAAAAACAAAAGGTAAAATAATAGGGGGCATATCCATATGATGTTTAATATTTGTTCTAAAAAAGTAAAAGGGATTAAGCTATTTACTAATAAAGAGTGTAGTATTAATTGGCTAGTATAACAATCTCCAAAATTGAAGGTAGGTGTTCGAGTCACCTCACTCTTGTTTATACTTTTATATTTAATTTTCTCATGCTAAATTTTCTATTATAATTTATAACAGTCCTCATACACCTTTGCTTTTTCATATAACCTTACTTTGTGAGGAGATGATGCTAAGTAACTACTTTTTAATTACCTCTGTATACGACCTTTAGACTCCTTTACTTTTAAGAGATATTCTTTGTTTTTGTAATGGTTATATACTTTAACTTTTAAAGAAAAAAAAAAAGGGGGGGGGGGGGCTAGGCAAAAGTAATAACAAAATATGAAGGAAAATAGTAAATGGGAAGTATAGCTTGTATTATAGATAACATCACTCTCCATATGATAAGGGGAAGGTGTCCCATAATTTTGCCTTTGAATTTTGTAAAGACAATTCTTCTCCTATGGACAAAGAAGGCTTCTTCTCCCCTCCAAAAAAGTAGGGGTTCTTCGAAGAGGGTTCGAGCAAAGGTTACATAAATAAGAATTAAAAGTAAAGCAAAGGCATAAGTAGGGTATATTCGAATAGCAAAGGAAAAAGAAGAATAAAACAAAAAGCAAAGGCAAATTAAGGCTTAAGCACCTAGGGTCCCAAGGGGGAAGGAAGCTCCCCTCCTTAGGTTTCCCATTACTTTACCTTTAAAATTAGGTACTCTAAAAAGCAAAGGAAGGATGGAGAGTTATTTTTATTTATTTTAAATAACTCTCCATCCCTACATACTACTCACAAAGTGAGTTAGGCTCCCTTATGGGTCCTTAAGGTAAAGTAATGGAAGAATAGCAGAGGAAATAAAAGGAGGGCAACCTATGGAGGAAAGTAGGGAGTTCTTTAGTATAATGGCTTATGGTCCCTATGTTTCTTACGTTTATATAGCCAATATGCAGGATCAAATATAGATTCTTTGTAAGAAAGGTAAAGTTATTCTTTATTCGACGAAGTTAAGTAGTATAATGTTGGAGATAGGATAACATATTATTTTTATTTTTTATTTAGGAAATTTGTTAGAGTGGTTTAATAAGTTCGTCTTGAAAACGAATGCTGATTAAAATCAGCCGTGGGTTCGAATCCTACAGTTTCCGTTTTAATTTGTCTGCTATACACAAGAAAAATCTTAGTCCTAGTTTGCCAGCATAGAGATGATGAGTTTAGATTAAAGGAAAAATCCATTCAATTGGAATAAACGTTTTCTATTATATTAATAAGTCACCCTTGTAATTAATAAGGTAAATCTTTTAAAAAGACGTCCTTAGGCTACCTTACTTTTTCTTTGATTTTTTTTTTAATTATCTCTTGCCTTTGTCTCTAAGAGTAAAATAACTCTCCATAGGAGCCTCTTCCCCCCCCCCCCCACCTAATGGGTTATTCTCCCCAATGGATTATCCGAAGAAACCTAGTTTTTTTAATTTTCCTCCTCCTTCTCCCTAAAGTAAAGGAACATAGGATTTTTCCTTTGTTTACAAAGGAAAAATCAAACAATAGATACCTATGGTGCATATGACTCTCTTTAGGTTATTAGGAGAGACGGCCTAAGCTCCTATGGAGGTAAGTATAGTAATGGATAAAGCAAAGGTGGATAGGATACACTATTATTTTTCGTAGATTTCCTTTCTTTATTATAATGTTTTATTTTAGATCCTTTGCTTTTACCTTTAAAAACAAATAATCTCTCCCTTCGATTCACCTTAAATTTTAAGTTCTTCTTCTTCTAAGTCTGTAGGGAGCATAGGTTTTAAAATTATAAAGCAAAGATCTCTCCTATGTTTCTCTCCTATGGTTAACTCCTATTGGTAATCTAAAAGATAAAGGTTAATCTATAGATAGAATAGAGACTAGCTTCATAATCCGTAGTACTACTTCGTAAATCCTTCTCCATTAAATAGGAACAACACTTTTCTCCTCTCCATAATACAACTATCTTCCCTACGAAGGAGGAAAATAAGGTTATTCTCCCTCCAAAAAGTAGGACTTCTTCTCCCCTCCAAAAAAGTAGGGGTTCTTCTCCCTCCTTTGGTTTTGTCTTTGAAAAGCAAAGGATCTCCAAAAAAGTAGGGGTTCTACGAAGAGGGATGTAATATCTTTATTTATTTTGTCCCTTAGGCAGTAAATAGAAGGTTGACCATAGATTTTAAAATTTTAAGTATTTAAATTTCTAATTATTTGCTCTACTTTAAATGGTTAAATCTAAGTTCTTATTAGGAAAGGAGGAGAGGTAATAAGTAAAGTATATTTATTATAGTACCTAATACTTTATACCTAGTATCTGTACCTATACCTAGTACCTATCCCATTAAAAAAAAAAGATAAAATAGGAAGAGTTCTCCTTCTTATCCATCCGTAGGCTCCTCCTTACTCCTTTTTTTTATACTTTGCCTATTAAAAAAACAAAGACAAAAGTAAATTAGTAAATAAGTGATTAATTTTGCCACCGGATGTAAACAAATAATCTCTTCCTTCGATTCACCTTAAAATTTAAGGTAGGGGAGTTATTTTTAATAAAAAAAATAGTGAGGGTTATTCTCCCACTGCCACTGCCACTGTAACTGCCACTGCCTAAGGGAGGGTAAAAGTAAGGGCTTCTTCTCCCCTCCTTTGTTTTTACTAAATAAAGCAAAGGATCTCCAAAAAAGTAGGGTTTCTTCGACTTCGAAGAGGTATCTTAATAAATAATCAAAATAATAAGTCTGAAAATTTAACCTCCGAAAATTAGTGTGACAAATTAAAAATAGTAATAAATAAATAAGGAGTTAATTAGTATATTTAAATATATTAAAAGAAATTAGATTAAAAAAAAATAAATAGAAAGTAATTTTTTTAGTTTAAAAATGAATTGGCTTAATTCAACAAATGCTAAAGAAATAGGTACTCTTTATTTAATTTTTTCTGTCTTTGCAGGTATGATAGGTACAGCATTTTCAGTTTTAATTAGATTAGAATTGTCAAGTCCTGGTGTTCAATATTTACAAGGTGATCATCAATTGTTTAATGTAATAATATCAGCACACGCTTTTATTATGATATTTTTTATGGTGATGCCAGGATTAGTTGGTGGTTTTGGTAAATTATATTTTTCCTTTTCTCTCCATAGGATTATTTTTCTTGCAAATAGTCTACTCCTATTACTTTTGCATTTGCTTAAAGGATCTATCTCTCTATCTCTAAAAAAGCAAAGGTGGATGAACACCATTTATATTTCGTTTAAGGTGTTTCTTAACTATATCTTTTGTCTCTATTTTTTCGTAGGCTATAACGCTAAATACAACCAAATAAGGCCAGTTACTACAAATAAGCTAAACCAATTCTCTCCCGTAGGGACCCGTTACTTTTGCCTTTGATTTGGCAAAAGCAAAGGGCTCGCGTACACGGGAGAAGGAGAAAAAATAGATAAGAATCGTAATATTAATAACTCCTTCCAATTTTCTCCTATAAATAAATACGGAAGTAGTAATAATATTGGACCCTATTTAGCCGGTTTAATAGAAGGTGATGGAACATTCGCTATTAAAAATGGTAACAATAAATCCACTATTACTAAAAAAAATTACAATCCTAAAATTATAGTTGTATTTAAAAAATCAGATCTTCCTTTAGCGACCTTTTTAAAAAATTACACTAATTGCGGTGAAATTTATATTAAGCCAGAAAGAGGTTATATATTATGGCAAATTCAGGATATAGTTAGTATTTTTACTATTATTTCTATAATAAATGAATATATGCGTACGCCTAAATGTGAAGCAAAAAATAGGACAATAGAATGGTTAAATCTATATATAGAAAAAAACATTAATAATCCAAAAGCACAACCTTCTACTTTAAATATTTTAAACCAAATACAACCTTTGTTAGCTAAACCTATAGATAACTCACCTATTGAAAGTAATAGTTGGTTATCGGGATTTTCTGATGCAGATGCTAATTTTTCTATTAATATTCATAAAAGATCTGATAAGAATTCTACTAGAGTTCAATTATACTATCGACTTGAAATTAAACAAAATTATCACATTACAGAAACAGATGGGAATAAAGCAAGTTTTTTTCCTTTAATGTCTCAAATAGGTATGTATTTAGGTGTTACTGTTCATAGTAGATCTAGATCAGTTAAAGATAAAAATTTTCACACTTTTACGGTTATTAGTCAAAATAAAATTAGTAACTTAAAAATTTTAGATTATTTTTCAAAATATCCTCTTCTTTCTTCTAAATATTTAGATTTTAAAGATTGAGCTCATATTTTAGATTTACAAAATTCTAATCCTGTAACAACTTCTTATTTGGATAAAGCAACAAAAATTAGAACTGATTTTAATAGTACACGTACAACATATAATTGGGATCATTTAAATTTTTAGGCTCCCTAAGGAGAAAGATATTTAACTTCTGCTCTCACTCCTTCTCCTTGACGGGGGAAGAATAAGAATGACTTGCACTTATGCTAAGCATTTAACTCCTCCTATCCACCCTATGGTGTATGAGCCTATTTTCATCAGTAAGTGTAAGTTAAAATTGTTAAAGCTAACGCTTAAATATAAAAAAAAAGTAAGCAAACTGTCCTTAATTTTTTAGAGAAAGATATCTTTTATCACAGCTTAAAGGCAAAAGCAACTCCCTATGGACCCTATGGACCCATAGGGAGTTGCTTCGCAAGGGAAGTAGACATAAATATGAAAAAGAAAAAAATCCTATGGAGAGAAAAAAAAAAAGTTGCCGTGGTTGACTGTGAAGTCAATCTTATTACGCTACTATATGCGGGAAGTTCCTAAAATACTTTTATAGAACTTTTTGAAAACTTTATAAACAAGCGTACAAAAGTCTTAATAATTAAGAGTAATAAGCTAATTAGCTAATGGATAATCCGCAGGAAACCAAAATAATAATTTCAGCACGCTATATTTATGCTAACCTATTTTTCATAGTAGTAGCCTCTAATTTCAGAGTCGTCCCCATTTTTATCCCTATCCCTCCGTCCCTTAGGGCTTCTTCTCCCCTCTAAAAAAGTAGGGCTTCTTCTCCCTCCAAAA